TGAGGTTGTGCACATTTAAAATCAGCGACGTTAGTTTATTTCATCTTGTAAGTCCTTGATTCTATGAGTTACTTCGGTAATGTAGCCTTCTCTCTACGAGCTGACAGGCTCATAATCAGCTGCTTTCTCGGTATCTGGGGCGTACACATAAGAATCGTCGAGGTAACCTCGCCTTCCCCTTCGTGGTCCCTCTGGGGGACCACGGAAATCTCTCTTGTTCTCTCGGTAGTCACGTGCCATGTAATTGTCGTACCCAGGCTGTGGATGGTCAACTGGAAGTGACACAGCAGCATAGGTAGTCAACAGCAGAACCAAAGTAACAACAAAGGCCTGGGACATCTGAAATGATTATTCGATCAGTTGACCGATTCGACTTATGTTATGTTTTGAACAGCTTATAGGTGAAGTCATTTAAAATCAATGATGGAATCGTTAAACTGGTTTTGGTTATGAAATCACGAAACTTTTAGAGAGATCATGAAACATTCTCAGTTGAGACCATAGTTTGTTCGACCAGGTATCTGGACTCGTCAGATGAAGCTGAAAATGGTGCACAGGAGGGCTCATCTTAGTATTCTCAGTCCATCGAACACTGCGAGCGTCTGCTCGGTGATTAAATTTCTTTTATTTTTGATTGCTATGCCTCACTTCTAATCATAATAAAGCTGGCAGAAATGCTAGTGGTCCAGGCACATCTTAATCAAAAGAACAGTTTGGTTTTCTTATAAACGTATATCTAAAATTCTGAAATTTTTACGAATTTCTTAGGAAAAACAAGTTTGGTATATATTTTCTTTTGATGAAACAGTTTAGTTTTCCTAATAAACGTATATCTGAGATTCCGGAATTCTTACGAATTTCTTAGGAAAAACGAGTTTGGTATATGTTTTCTTTTGATGTAAAAGGAGGAGCTCAGTCCGTATTTTAAATCACAGAAGAGAGGAAAGTTTCGCAATTGTTTGCAGAATAAAAGAAATTAATTCCATGGCTTTTGCAATTGTCCGGGGAAGAAACTAAGGGATAGCTCGTTTCCAATCGTTTCAATCAGAATAAATCTGTCTGTTTATCTGTCTTACCTTAATAAGTAGAATTCCTCCTTTTTCTTTGAAGCAACCCTCTTTCCACGCCAAACACAGGATTTTGGACAAGCCTTCATTTCTGTGATCGACTTTTAAGGTGATAAACTGAATCTGATTAGATTTACGGAAACCAATCAACCTTCCACCGCCTGCAGCAAGCAATGATCCTAAAGGTTGGGTGCGGATACAACGGAAGGAAGTGCAGACATCAAACTTATTTCCCTTTCTAAGCAAGGAATCAATCCATGAAATTTATAGATGTAGCAAATCGTCCTTCATTTGCTTTATAGATGTTGCCTATTCAAAACAACCATTGGTAAATTTGTGTCAATGAGAATTTTATAATTTTTGAGTCGCAAAAAAGAAACATATTTTTGTTTTCGGGCATTTCTACCGCTCCAGTTAAAGACTTTAAAGAGCAATTCGAAGGAGCAATTAAGACCACACGCGATCATGAATTAACAGATTTGATGGGCGGACTGTTACACTGAAGAAGGTGAAGATGATAGATATATTGAAACATCCGGAATTAGAAATATCTTTGGGTTTCCATGGGTGTTAAACATCATAATTTAAAATCACTTTTATCACTGATTTCTCTGTGTGCTATTTCAAGAGTGGAAGTCGAAAATAGTTCTGTTGAGAACAAAACAGGTTGTGACAAGGTTGATTGAAGATTCCCACATTCATGAATAGTTTTTTACTTTTCTGAGGTAAAAAGTAATTTTCTCGAACAAAAGGGAATGATATTGCTCACCATCTGGATGAGAAGTCATCATCGAGGTCGAAATTCACAGCGTGAAACATGGTTGAAATCAATTTCACAAGTAAAGCGATGAAATTAATCTTTGAATAAGCGGAAGTTATTCAATGATGCAAGAAACTCAAATCTTAGAATTTCTTTTACAAGGTTTTAAAAAGATGATTATTTATTTTTTTTGACATGAAGAAAAAGCTTCGTTCTTTCCTAACCAGCGAGCTTAAAATTCATCACTCTTTCCTATGCTACAATCTTTATTGACTATTGACAGGAACAAAAACAGACATCGCACATCTTCCACAGCGATGTGTCAGGTGATAAAATACCGGTAATGAAATTTAATAATCAAATTAGTCTTTACCCGACATTCAGCCTTGCAACATTGTTCATATCAATCTTTCTTCAGCCCAAAGTAAATGCCATATGTGCAACAACTCGTCTCAAGAAGGCATTAATTTTCTGCCTCAAATTAAACCAACTTTTCGAAAAGGAAGCTATAACGAATTCAAATTAGAGTATTATTGTTGTCTAAGTGAGAAATCTTGACTACGTACTAAAATGAAATGGAAATTTAAGAAAAATTAAATTGTGCGTTTGTTTCTAAATTTCTTGCGTTTGTAATATTCCGACGGGAATAAAGGAATCTAGGTCGAATACTTCACGTCGAGGCTCACATGTGGAGTTTCCATGATTTTAAGAGTTTCGTCCTGGCTGATACTGTGTTCAAAAAGGTCCTACCTTGAGTGTTTTTCGTTTTGGTTTTGCGATTTGACGTTGGGAAATATCCTGGTTCAAGACCTAGACCGACACCTAGTACAAGACTTAGACCGAGAGCTAGTCCAAGACCTAGACTTAGACCTGGAACTAGTTCTAGACGTAGATCTAGAACTAGAATTAGAACTAATAAAAGGCGTACCAAGAACTAAGACGAGACCTAGACCTAGAACTACCAAGTGACAGGACCGAGAACTAGACCTGATACAAGACCTAGACCTACACCTCGTACAAGACTTAGACCGAGAGCTAGAACTGGTCCACGATTTAGACCTAGACCTAGAACTAGTATAAGACTTGGACCTAGACCTAGTGCAAGACCTAGACCTAGAACCAGTGCAAGACCTAGACCTGGACCTAGAACTAGAACAAGAGCTAGTACAAGACCTAGACCCAGACCTTCTACAAAACCTAGTCAAGAGGAAAGTTTACGGAGGTGACCACGAATCGTGCGAAAATACATACTCGGCACGTAAATGGAAAATCAATCCCAACTTGAAATACCCAGTATTACTCGGTCATGTTCAGTCGTTGCAGTGTGATTCATATAAAGGAATGGGAAAAACCAGATTCAGAATTTGATTCTTTGAAATTTACAATCCCAGAGGAAAAATGAATGAGGTGCAAATTGGGACTTTGGGCGGAGGAGCTCTCTTTTCGTTTTTGTAATGGAATTCCTTTTTAATTACCACCTACCAGCTCGGAAGAAAGGCACAGCCAAAGGATCGTGATCATTATCGTGCTTAAATTTTATTTATCATAAGTGCACAATTAGCAAAATTTTTTTTGACTAGTTCCCACAGGAAAATATAAAGCAAAGATAAAAACACACAATTTATGAGCCGGCTTTAGCCAGATAGGGTTAGATTAGCAAATTGAAAGCGTCTCTCTAACGCGGGTTTAGGTTCCTCCTAACTTATTTTTTACCAGCTATAAGTGATTAAAACTCGTAGTAAGCGATTCTAGTTAACTGAAGTATTTGGAGAAGATTCTCAGGTTGGCCAGAGGTCAGTTGACTTCAGATCTGTGGATAAGAGAATATTGTTAGTTGAGACAACGAGTATACTCTATAAACCATATAATTTTATCTCTACCTTTTTAATAATATATAAGAATACGACACTGACCGCATTTTCGGCTTCTTTAGACCTTCTAACATGGTAAAATATTCATAAAGAATCTTTGTCACGAACCGATCTCGTCTCAAACAGTATCCGGGTTTGAAGGCCAAGGCTTCACAGCTTACCCCTCTAAGATTCCCTTTGATGCCCCACCCTCCCT